CAATATTTACTAAGAGCAATTTTTTTTTCAGAATAACATTGCAGGAGATGTGTGAAGAATAAATTGTTAAGTATAAATGCCATTAGGAAGTCCAGGTAAATGTCACAGCAAATGTAAGTAATACGGAATTAGATGGGACTATACATTCTCTCTCTCTCTCTCTCTCTCTCTCTCTCTCTCTCTCTCTCTGTCTTATTTGCAACCTGTACATTACACTATATTTTAAAATTTATAGTTTTATTTCCTATGAAGACTAATTCCTGTTTGTTCTAAGCATTATGCTAAAGGTAACTTAAATATATACCATTTGAGTAGAAATAAAGTTTTTCTCCTTGAAGAATATTTCTTTTACTTGTTCAGCTTCTGGAATTTCTCTCGTGTGTCTGATGTGGGATTCCCCTCTGAATGCTAGGAAAATGTTTTATTGCCATTGGTTATTAAAGAAGCTGTTTTAACCAATGGCTTAGTAGAATAAAGCCAAAAGGAAATCTGAACAGAAATAAAGAGAGAAAGTAGGTGGTTTTTTCCGAGAAGTGGTTTTTCTGTGTAACAGCTCCAGCTGACTTGGAACTTGCTTTGCATACTAAGATAGCCTTGAACTCAGAGAGGTCCACCTACCTCTGCCTCCTAAGTGCTGGGATTAAAGACACGCGCCACCATGTCTGGCTACTTCATCATTATTTAATAGCTATACCTTGTAAGTTTATTCAATCAATGTTTCATTGATCCACAATAATTGATATATTTATAGAGTGATCATGAAAGTTGAAGTATGCAATGTGTAGATCAAGTTAAAAATGAGCAATGTAAAAAATAAATTATTAATTTTAAATGGGCAATGATCAGATAAAGGTAAATATGTCAATTGTCTCAAACATTTAGTCTTTATCTATGTTGGGAATATCCAAGGTTCAATGTAGTAGCTGTTTTGAAATACTCAGTTATTCATCATAGGTACTCTACTATTTGTAGAAAATTAAAAATTATTCCCTTTACTGGGACTGTACCATTGAACTATTATTTCTGTCTGCCTTCTTCCTCCTTCCCAGTCTTTGCTGGCTGTTAAGCTACTGTAGAAAACATTGTGAGTTCAGTGGTTTTTAACATTTGCATATAATGAGAACACAAGGTATTTGTCTTTCTGTGCCTGACTTATTTCACGTAACACTGTCTTTGAGCATCCCGTAATTTCCTGCAAGTGATAGGATTTCATTGTTTTCCATGGGAGAATAACATTCTGTTGATATATAGGTGCCACATTTTGGGCCAGTTCATCTGTCGGCAGTGGTGTTTATGTTGCTTTTGCAGGAATAGGAAAGAGACTTTTCTCGTGATGCATTCTATTAGCTATTGGAAGCAGCTTAGACTTGAGTTTGGAGAAAAGTGAAAGCTGCTTCTGAGATCAAATGGGAAAAATGTTAGGTAGTGATTAGGAACTGCTAAGATGAGAATTGGGCATTGCTAATATGAGAACTGGAGATAATGGAGGGAGGCCATGCACTAAATCTGTATTCCTGGTTTCTTATGCAATACCCATACAGTAGTATGGGTAGAACCAGTGCTTTAACACATTGTAGACAAGGCTAATTCTTAGGAAATTTTATATACTGAATGTACATAAGTTCTCAAACCCTCCTGGTCAGTTGTGTTAGCCTATAATGTTCCTATGCATAAATTTAAATATGTTATCACATTCATAGTGGTATCAATCATACATTTTGTTTAGTGTGTTCAAGCGTGGCATCGCTTTTTCTAGTAAACTCATTCTCTCATAAACTAGGTTTATTAACATATAAGCTTCCAAGACCATGAAATGTGTTTCTTACTATCACCATTTTTATCAAGAACAAATGTGAAGAATGCAATTAATTATCAGAAAATGGAAGAGGGGTGGGAAAATGTGGTAGGAGGCACCTTGTTGTTTCCTGGCCACCCAGACTCCCAAAATAATCATATAGAAACCATATTATTTGCAATATTGTGGGGCCAACAGCTTAAGCATATTTCTAGCTACCTCATATCTTAAATTAACCCATCTCCATTAATCTGTGTATCACCATAAGCCTGTGGCTTACCGGGTAAGGTTAGTGCTGGCACCACAGGCCAGGAAATTGCCATTTCAAAAGTGTGCTGCTTTTTTTTTTCCCCTGCTACTGCTGAGCCACGGTGTTAAGCTGTGCTTAACTCTGCTTTTCCTTTCTTTCTTTCTTTTTTTTTGTTTTTTGTTTTTTGTTTTTTGTGCCTAGAATACCTTCCCAATCTCTCTCAGGCTTTTAGTGAATTTTAGTGGGCCATGAAGAATGGGAAGGAAAAGACAAATGAGATATCAGATGAAAATGAGAGAATAGAGCGAGGATCTTCCAGGAAAGAAACACACAGATTTAGAGGAACTAATTGTAAGTGTGAGTGCCAAGAGAAAGGAACATGAGTCCTTAAGAGAAAAGTAAAAAAAAAAAAAAAAGAGGGCTGTCTTAACCTACTATCTCTGGGGAATTAGAAAAGATGCTGGCTCTGCCATCTGCAGTGGGTTGCTCATTTGCAGTTAAGGGAAGGTGGGTGGTAACTGGATCTCATGTTTCTCTGCCCAATCCTAGGAATAAAGCTGGGAGCAGAGTAGAAAGAGGCCAGCAGATGGATAAATGATATCATGGCGCTGAGAAGGAAGCAAGAGGAATTTCCCCTGTTGGAAATGGGACTTGGTGTGCTGATTTAAATTAGTAGACCCAGAAGGAACTCTACCTTAGGGAGGAAAAGATGGGATGAGAAAAGCTATCAAAACCTGAGCTACAGTGGGCCCTCCTATCCATGACCTTCAGCAGAGGAATGGATACATGTCCATGGTCAGCTGTGCTGATATAGGCAGGGAGTTCAAAGACCCTGTATGCTTGGCAAATCATTTGACAATGAAAACCATATAATAAAAAAATGGAAAGACATCCTCCATGTTTCATTTCTACCTGTTGCCTGAAATGGCTGCTATGAGTCTGTGCTCAGAACCTGTGCTTTGCTGAGATACCGTGCATTTTCTGTATTTTTCTTCCATAGAAAAATGAGTGCTAATGTACACGAACAGCGAAGATCTTATTTATGATACAGCTTGAGGGGTGACTGATTTTTTCTTTTTATCTTGTATGGTGTAGATCTCACCATCACTGAGAACCCCAGGTACTTGAGGACTGATTTGAGAACCCACAACAAACTAGTTTAGTGCTTGGTGTAGCTAAAGTCACCCCAAGGGGAGAATGTAGCAACAGTTTGAGTGTTTGAGTTACTGTTGTTAATTCCTCATTATCCTGATTTTTTTCTCAAATCTTTTGGATAGAAAATAATTTTTTACATGTATGAATTTCTTGGTTAGCCGTAACATGGATGGGCAAACAATATTTCAGAATGAGGTTGCCTTTTGAATATTTACCATGATTTTTCTAACTCTAATTCATATGTATGTTATAATGATTAGAAAGTCCACAGTATATAAAATTTCTGATGCACTGAAGTTATATGTGTCTGCTCTCACTTTGTGGTCTTCATTCCAAAAGTTTAACAATGTGTTGATTGATAAGTGCTAACTTTCACCAACTGACTGTTTTGTCAGCTCTGTGAAACTGCTTCTTTATAACAAATATTAATCTATGATAAAATTACTTTAGATTTCTATTTTGTCCCCTTGACCTTGATAATTGCATATGCCATAGAAAGTTAGTCATTATATAATATTCTAAAACCAAATTCTGTCCATAAAGACAAATCCTGACAGGGAGAAATACGGTGGTATTCTAAAAGAATACATAGTTAAAATGGGACGTCTGTAAGTTCATTTCTTATTTACGTGATCAAATTCCTGAGGGGGAAAAACAGTTTTAGGGAGAAAAGATATTTTTGGACCTACTGCTTCAGACTTAGGGTTTGGGTCAGTCCTGGAGAAGATGGCAGCCTGAGGGCAGAAGGTCAGAGATGTGGTGGAAGAGTGTGAGGCTGCCTCCTCATATCTCCAAAGGGTAAGAAGAGAGAGCTAGTCAGGCCATAAAGATCAAGACTCCAGATCCCACTCCCACCCCTGTGCCAGCTTCTTCTTGTGAGGTCAGCTTTCTAAAGGATCTGCCATCTCTCTAAACAGCACTATCATCAAAGGACCAGGAGTGAAACCCATGAATCTGTAGAGGACACACATAACATCTAAACCAAAAGAGGAATTTTCCGAGTTGAGACAGAATGGGTGAACTAGAGAAACACAAAGATGGAGAAAAAGTGGCTAGAGGGCAGCTGGACTTTGAGTCGAGGAAAGCAATCATTGCCAGCGAGTAGTGGAGTAAGGCGAGAACTTGGGGCATAAATATCCTGGCTTCACTCTGTTCCTGCCTGAGGCTCACAAAATCTCAGATAAATAAGGGACCAGTATCCTTCATACAGAGAAATAATCTGGAAGAATAACAAGACATCACTAGTAAGAGTGAGGTGTACATGTGTTATTTTATGTATGAATGTATGAGGCAGTGCCCATGCCATGACATACATGTGCAAGTCAGAACACATCATGTATGAGTCAGTTCTCTTCTATTTTGTGTTCTGGTGTTAGAGCTCTGGTCACCACGCTTGGCAGCAGCTTCTTTAATCTGCTGAGCCACTCCATCTTGCTAGCCCTTAAGAGATACTTCTATCATTGTATAGGGTTAGAACAGTGCTTTATCATACAATTTCAACTTCTTCTTGTACACTGATAGAATATCTGAAAAAATTATTTAATTGGGCTCATATTTAGGCTCAGTTCTTTGGAGGGAAGCAAGGATGACTTTAAACTGAAATCAGATGTGAATGGGTTAAAAATTTCATCTGCCTGTTGGTGAATTCCCAGTGAACAGGGCATGTATTATTCACCTTAATCCAGCTCTCTTGGCACTGGGAGTTTCCATGGGAACTCTAGTTTAGCCTTTTGAGCAATAAGGGCATTGGGATGGATCTGTTTCGCTGTGAGGGCAGGAGTGGGTGTTCCACCAGATAAAAGCTATCAGAAATTAATGAAAGTGTTTTCGGCCTTACCTGTCTGCAGATCCTTAGTGTTTTACCCATGGTGGACTTGAGAGATAGCCAATTTGGAAACAGTGGCCTGAGCATGTTTCTGTCTTTTGTTTCACGGGAGAAGCTAAGTGCCTTGGATTTCATGCCTAACGAGACGGTAAGAAGCAGTTCATGTTTTCAAATGAATGGAGAGAAAAGCTGAAAAATCTGTAATGAGTGAGCTGACAGTGTAGGAAGGCTCATTTGCAGGATGTAACCTGGATGAACGGAGAAAATAAATTCTCTATGAGTCTCAAGAGGAAGAAAGATGGTAATTTAACAAAACCTAGACAGCATATTCCACAAGTCACTTCTCTGTCAGATAGAAATATGTGGAGTTCAAATGGGAAGAAACCACTAACACTCTTTCTGGTAAAGATTGGTAATTTTTGGCAAATGCAAAAGTTTTCTGTATCATTTATAGGTAATATTAAATCAAATGTGATTTCTTTATAATTAAATTTCTCTTCAGAGAACATAGCCTTAGATTTTTACTAATGCAATTATGATACTGTGGATCCTAAACTGTCAAGAAATTAACTGTCTTGGAAAAGGGAAGGACACTGGAATGGTCATTATTATTCTAGAGTATATACTCATTGGGCATCTTACAAGAAAAACTTTAAAGAGGAAGTGCTCTTGTCAAAATATGCAAGACCAGAGAGTAGTGGCTTTGTTCTCAGCACTAAAACAACTCCTGAAAATACATGGGAAAAGCATAAGGAAACAAAGCAATTAAACCACCCAAAAATAAAAATAGAATTCTGTTCCTCACTAACCCTACGAGGAGACCTTGTACCTCTGAATCCAAGCTGGCTTCCAGACACTATTTCTAGGATTTTCTATTACCCCAAGACAAACATGACTGGGGTGGGTTTCTAGATTACTGTGCTTAAATTACTGGAAGTTTCTCTGATTTCCTTTGTCCACGAGATACATATGTTCAAATGGTTTTAGATATAAAGATGGTATCTGCATCCATCAGAGAGATACTCTGTGAAGCGGACAAATACTAGCAGGGTTTAACAGTCAATACCACTGAATGTTATTAAATGGCCTCTTGAATAAACATATTTTCCCTCTCTGCCAAGCATGGTTATTTTTGTGCTTTGTGAGGTGAAAGGACAATAGGAAGTATTTGCTTCCCTGCATTTGTACGGTATTGCTTTCCATGCTGCTTATTTACACGGAGTAATTGTGTCAAACATATTGGCACATGCATGGGCTATGAAACCGTGGTGTATTATAATTTAAATAATGTGTTTCTGTTCTTTCCTGCATGACTGCCATCTGTGGGTGACATGAATCAATTGCTAAATATGGATTCTTTTTGTGATCTAGACAATTTTTATATATATATATAATATATATAAATGTTTACACACACACATGCACACACACACACACACACACACACACACACACACACACACACGGCCCACATTAAGAGTAATCAGAGTAGGGAAGCAGTCAAACTAGAAAAATTGTCCATTTATCAAGACCTCAAATCTTTCTGGCCTTCTACTAAAAAAGTCATCGTCATCACCATAAATTTTTAAGTTAAATTCTGCCTTGAGGGTACACAGCAACACCTATCAATGATTTAATAACTTATACTCTAATAAAATTAGAACATAGATGTCAAAATATGGTTTAAAAATCACCTAGGATATTTATGTTGGCCAAAGTGAAGCAGGACTCTGATAATATTTTGAAGTAGGTCTAAGAGTGACCTCAACAGCGAAAAACTTGGCTGTGAGAGTATATACTGGACGTGATCGTAAAATACTTTAAGTCACATAGAGTGTAGACACTGTTGATTTGTATAGTTGTCAAACATTAACTGAGTGTAAGCCAGTATGTATCAGTTCAGAAAACCTAGGTGCGAGGCACAAAATGGATACACCGGGTGCTTCAGACAAAAATATGGTTATATATCAATATTAATACACTACAAATAAACACTTTCCACATTTGTTACTTCACTCATGATTGAGACCAAATACCTGACAAAAAATAAATTGATGGAGGATAGATGGAAGTTGGTTCATGGTTTGAGGAAACCATGGGTGGGAAGGAAGGATTTCAAGAGTGGTCTAACCCTTGTGACTGGCAGAGTTTGCATATATGGGCCAATCAAGATGCAGAAAGGAATTCTAGGAGTTGGTTCATTTGCTTCTTCTTCTTCTAGGGGATGGTGCCATCCTCATTAGAGTAGGTCTTCCCACCTCAGTTAAACCTCTCTAAGAAGTCCTCCTGGATATGTCTAAAGAGATGTGTCCTAAGAGATTTCAAAACCTTAATTGTTATATTGCAAAAATATAAGTTTTGTCTAACTGACATTACCAACCCTTTGTGTGTTGATATTCAAATATGTTTGCCAGTATTCAAATTTACATATATCTTTAAAACATTAATAATACATTGTTCATGTTATCTAATTTACTACATAAAATATTGCTTCATATTTTATTTATTTTTATTTTTATTTTTTTGTTTTTTTTGAGACAGGGTTTCTCTGTGGTTTTGGAGCCTGTCCTGGAACTAGCTCTTGTAGACCAGGCTGGTCTCGAACTCACAGAGATCTGTCTGCCTCTGCCTCCCAAGTGCTGGGATTAAAGGCATGCGCCACCACCACCTGGCTGCTACATATTTTAGAATAAATAAAGCCAATGATTAACAAGAATTTTTAAGAAAATTTAATGAATATTCATAAAATACTTCATATTCTTTTTAATTTCATGAAATAAGAAATGTTAAACATATGTCAATATTTCCATTGGGTGGATATTTAATTTGAGAGTGATTTTTAAGTTACTGTTTATTGAGAACAAAACTATAATCAGACATCATCTCACTAAAATTAAAAATGCCTTGTAATTTATGTATGTATTATATTTCATGATTTTTATTGATAAATAACATTATTTGATACATGGAAGGTTATAGCATAAAATATACTCTAAAATACTATTTAAATATATTTACATCAACGATATAAACCACAGTCATATTTTGAATACATGCTGAAATAAATATCAGTTCTTATTGTTGAGAGAAATTCTCATGACCTTCAGACTTCCTTTTTCATTTGATTGCATTCTCAGTGCATTTTACAATTTTTCTGACATTTAGATATTTTAGAGGGAATTAATTCATGAGTTTCATCTTCCTGGTGGGGGGCCTTGAGTCCTCATTCCTTTCATCTCATGCACGGCATTTCCTCATAGTCACTTGGGTGATAATGAACTATTTGAGCATTTCCAAATGTAGAGAATAGGCACCAGTTGGATGGTCATTTATTTGGAGTGAGGAAAATGATCTTATAATGTTAGTGATTATGTTAATTACTTCAAAGGGATGGACTGAACATATGGGTAGACTAAATGGGATGCAAGAAGTGTATTGTGTTTCTAAGACACACCGGTGGTAGCCATGAATGATTTAGAAAGATGAGCACTAGAAAAATGAGCTAATTGAAGTTACATAGAACATTTCAGATTAAAATTTGATTTATTTTATATTATGCTTTTATCTTTATTATTTTCTGAGATTGTCTTAACTTGGATTTTGATATCAACAGCTTACAGGCAATTGTGTTAGCTATTCTACATCAAAACTTAAATAAATTGTTGCCTTTAATTCTACCTAGATGAGGCAAGCATCTTCATCCCTGGGAGAAAACCTGAGCATCTCTAGGTCATCTCATGTCTATAATAGTTATGGGAAGCCCAAAGGCTGCATATAAATAGGCATATTTGAAAGCCTGTGGCAGGATAGTGCATAATATTTAGGTAATGACTAAAATGTAGTGAGCAGAATTCTCAATTCAGTCTGGCTGACAAATGAGAAAATGAACATAGCTAATTTAAACATGTTCTAGTAAAGGAGGGGAAAATTACTTACTGCTACCCTTCTTAAAATGGATTGTGATATTTAATTATTATTACCCTTGCTCTGAATTAATTAAGTGGCGGCGGCTTTGCTAGATTCTCTGGAATATCAACAGTGATGTCGTACAGTGCCAGAGGTTGACAACCTAGTTTAAAAGCACTAGGAAAGCAAACACTTGTCAAGTACTCCCCACAAGAACGAGACAGTTGACTTGCAAAAGAAAAAAGGAAATTACATGAGACACTCTATGGCCAATAACAGGTGACAGAATATTGGGGAATTTTTTCCTCATTATATATTTGAATGACTATTTATATGGAGTTATTTTCAAATATCTAGCAAGTTTTATTGCTTATTTTCTTTCCTCCTTAACTGGAGAAGGATCTTATATTACAAGATATGTTCTCCTCAGCGCCCCCAAACTAAAAATATGTTTTCTTCTCGAGTAGAGAAATGTGAATATTATCTTTAATAAATGGTTCTTAGTAAAAACAAAACAAAACATTAAAAATGCATAAAAGAACTGGAGTGATGCATTAGTAGGAAAGTGCTTGCCACACAAAGGAGACCTGAGTACAGATGCCCAGAATCCACACGTTCTAGGCATCGGCACACATAGCCAGGGCTCCTGGTGTTAGGTGGAGGGTGAGGACTGAAGAATCCTCTAGAGCTCAAGGGTCGGCTAGACTTGTCTAAACCACAGTGAACAAAGATACTGTCTCCAACATGAGAGAAGGGTACCAGCATCTGAGGACACTCAGGTTTTCCTGTAACATCCATAGATTGCCTCAAAAGCCTGTACTCACACACAAGCTCGCAAACACACACTCATGTCTCTCTCTCTTACACACACACACACACACACACACACACACACACACACATGCATACATATTGTTTTTAAAGTAAGGGCATACACTATTTAAAAAAAAAACCAGTAATTTGAATTGAAATCAAACCAATACTATTTCTTGGTGTTTTAAATAAATGTCATATAAATGGTATGACATTTATTTAAAATTTCATGAAAAACAGTTGAGATGATGATTGTCCTGATTTAGTTATTATACATGTGTACTTATATGAAAACATTATGCTGTACTATATAAATAAATATAACTTTGTGTACAAATTGAAATAAGGCAGTTGAATGGTGTATTAGTCATGGTTATTTAAAGAAAAAGAGCTAACACTATATATATGTGTGTGTGTGTGTGTGTGTGT